AGAAAACATAAGCCAAGTAAAGAAAAAGGTTGGTCAAATTTTGGGGTACAACATTGGGCAAATTCGATATAAGCTGAATTATCATGGGTATTCCTGCGTTCCAACTCTAAGACATATTTGAGAGTGTCTGTAATACTTTTAAGAAAAGTAATTTCGTTTACGATTCTAACCTCAGTCTATTTGATTTATATTAATTTTCTAACGAGTAATGCATTTTATTATTATGTGTTGCAATTATAAAATTATTTTAAATTAAATTTTGTAGATTTCTCTTTAAAAAATCATCCAATTATTGTATGAATGTAATGTTATTTTTAGTCATTTATATATTCGGTTTTAAAATATCATCAATTTGAAATTCTTAAAATAATATCATTTTTTTAATTCTAAATCATAATTTTTTTATTGTGAGCTTTTGAGATGTCATCGTAAAATACCTAGCGATATTCTTAAGTGATATGCTCATTAATTTTATTTATAAGGATAAATGTTCGTTGTATTAATCTTAATTGATTTTTTGGTTAACTTTTTTGGCAAAATTATATTAAAGGTTGTTTAAGTTTTTTTTTTTAATAGTTTGGTTTTTTAAAATTTTTAATAACTTGGCTCTTTAGGAGATTTTTTTTTCACATTCATATGTGACTGTTGTATTTATAACTACACTTTATCATTTTTATATCATTCAAAATAATAACATCCATAACTAAAATTTTCACTCGGTTAAAAATAAATAAATTAATGCACACGTTAGGTGTCTTAAAATAATAACTCGTTAAAAAAAAAGACTTTTGTGAGTTATCATGTGATAGCATATAAGTAGACATTTGTTTATAAATTTTTCACTCTTACTAAAATTATGAATATAATTATATAAAAAAAATGTCGTTTTCAAAATATTTTAAATTAAAAACTTTCTATAATCATCAATTCTATCTTAACAATTACTAACATTAAAAAAATTAACCAAATTTGGTTGTGTCAAAATTTTGGTTATTTTTTTAGTTTTAATAATTATTTAAAATTAAAATAATTATAAAAAAAAAAAAGAAAATGAGTATTACATAAAAGTTAAAATAGTTAAAACTAAAAAAATAAAAAACAACTCATATTAACTAAACTTGTATTAAAAAAAATTCAATTATCAGATTTTTCTAAAATGTAATAGAATATAATTTTCAAATGACAAAGATGAAATTTAAATTTTTTTTATAAGAGGATAAAGCAAAAACCATCTATATAATGTGGAACAAAAAAAGTATTAATTCTATAAAAAGAATAGAGGAAGTATCATCAATTTGTAATTCTTATGACAATTAAAAAATCATATATTTTTATTTATGGGCGGAGTAGCTCAATTCCTGTCTTATTTATTTATTTATATTTATGCATTAAAATCTTTTGTAATTTCAATTTTATCTTTTTATCAGATGTCAATCATATTAATATAGTTTTAATTTTAATTTTACTATTTATATCCATTTTAATTTTAATTTTACTATTTATATCCTTCTTAATTTTAATTTTAATTTTAATTTTAATTTTACTACTTATATCAATTCTCCATATAAATATGCCACAATTTTTAACTATTAACTTGATTGACCATAATCAATACCCCACCAATCTTTTCTGGATATTAGTATATTACTATCTATATGTCTTTCTACATTCCACCGAACAAACATATTTAAGCATTGATGGAGATAATGAACTTATGTGTCATTTTTCAAAAATTATTGAAAGTTGTACTCTTTAATTGAATACATTGTTTCTCTTCTTCCCAAACATTATTTTCATACTAATCTAATTATCTTTTCATTTTTAAGTTTGCGTCGGATTTAGATCCTCTCTTTTTTTTATATATTACGTAATTTCTCATGTTTTTAATTTAATAGTTTATAATTTATAATGAATAATTAAATAAAAAAATAATTTTATAGAAAAGAAAAATAGATAAGTAATTTGTCTTTGTTATTTTTAAAATTTCTTCAACAATTTTACGTGAAAGTTTTTTAGAATTTCTTCTCCATCTAAAAATGTCTTAGTATTAAATATTTTTATAATTTCATAAATATTAAATATTTTCATTAATTCAAATTAAAAGTGTCTATTATTCAAATCAAATTAAATAAAAATATTAGAATGAGATAGCATCATAATCTCATTTCCTTAAATAAGAATTACTATTGAAAAATAACTTAACAAATTCATCTATTCTGAATCATTTCTTCCTAAATAAAAAATCATTAACAAAATAGTAAAAAAAATCATTAACAAAATAGAATAGATTGTAAAAATAACACAACAAAATATCTGCAATTTAACAATTACTAATATCTGCAATTTAAAAATAACATAGCAGAACTCTCATTTGCTAAATTCAAAAGTAAAAATAAAGTCACAAACACACAAGGCTGGAAATGAGTCGAGTCGAGTCGAACTCACCTCAACTCGACTCGACTCGTTAAGAATTGTTTGAGTTCGAGTTCGACACGAACTTTTTTTTAAGCTCAAACTTGACTCGTTATAAGTTCACAAACAGTTCGGTTCAACTCGTTAGGTTCATCTCATTAGGTTCAGCTCACATGATTCACAGACTTAAAAACTACTTTTTCAAATATATATATATATATATATATATATATATATATATATATATATATATATATATATATATATATATATATATATATATATATATATATATATATATATATATATATATATATATATATATATATATATATATATATATATATATATATATATATTTTAGTATATTTGACATTTTAAATAAATATATTTTTTAAAAATAAAATATTAAAATAAAATAAAAGTTATCATATTGAAATTTAACTTTATCTTCGAAATCTACTAATTCAAAACCTACACAACTTTCAAGAGATACATTTGAGAGTCTAATTCAAAAATTACTAAATTGAAGATTAAATTTGTCTAAGATTTGGAGTAAATATTTAAACCTAATCTTAAAGACAGTATAATTCTTCTCATATATAATCGAGTTGACTCATGAACCTAACGAGTCGAACTATGTATAGTTCAAGTTCAGCTCATTTAGTTAACAAACTTAATTTTTCGCTCATACTCAACTCATTTGGTTCATGAACCTAGTTCAACGATTTAATTGTCGAATCGAATTCCGAACTATTTTCGAGTTGGTTCGGTTCATTGTCAGCCTTACAAACACATAATGTATTTAATGCACAAAATCACAAATTACAAACCAGATCTTAAAATCTACATCATAACAAAAACAACTAGAATTATTTGCATCCAAGGAAGAGCATGGAAAACAAAAATAATCACTACATCCACACAACCTCAAATGAAAACATTAGCAGGTCATTGTTCAAAATATGTTTTCTTCACTTCTTTAGAAATTGTTAAATGTTATAACATCTCCATGAAGATTTTTCTATAATTAAAAAGACATATGTTAATAATTTAGTAAAACTATTTGCACCGAATTGACAATAGAGTTTATGTAATTGTTAAAATTTACCATCAATAATTTAGTAAAACTATTAGCACCGAATTGAGTTAAAGTGTTATTGTTTCCCTGCAAAAAACATAAAATCATTTAATTACTAAATATTTTTTGGTATAACATACTCAAATTGATATTGGCTTACCATGGCTGGTATGTTGTATGAATTATTGAGCCAAATAGATGCACTTGTATTGGGCACCTCATATTGAACATGTGTTTGTGAATCACCTGTGTCATAGTCTTTTCCTGTTATGCTAAGTTATGAATCACGCCCTTTATTGTTCTACACAACATAAAATAATAGAAAAATATGAATTTTTTTAGTTTACTAAAGACAACAATTGACTTAACTAATTCAACAATACCTGAATTTGTGAAGCTTTAGAACCAACATTTTTCTTTCTTTTGGGAGGTTGATTCTCTACCCAACCTTTTGGACATTTTGTACTCTTTCTACCTTCTCTTTTTTTAATCTTTTTGCTTGTGGTAAATCGTCAGGGGTGCTAGTAGACTCCTTAACTCTACCAATAAACTTATTCACCTGAGAAATATCTACTGGATTCTTTTGAAACTCTGACATGCGCCTATCCAATTCATCAGTCATTTTGCAAAGAAATGTGAATGCTTCTGGACTTCTACATGCTTCAGTGGCTATCCTAATAAGACGAGGACAAATCTTCTTGTACCGTTGAGCTGGGGATAAATCAACATCTTCTTCCACATAGTTAACATCAACATTACGTGAAGTCTCACTTCTAGCTAACTTTGTCCACCTTTTTAAAATATAATGTTCTGGAACTGATTTAACATCCATATGAATAAAAACTCTCAAACAATGACAACAAAGTATGCCAAAACTCTCAAACTTATGACAAGAGCAACAAATTGAATTATTGTCCAAATCAAATGACACTCGCCACTCGCCCAAATTATTCTCCATCGAAATAACACAATCAATTAAAGGTGGTTGCATATCAATGCTTTTCACACAACATGTTTCAAACTCATACTCGTGCTGGAATTGATCAAACATACTAGGAGTATAAAGCTCAGACACTTGCTGTAAGATTTTTGAATATGAGTTCCTTAATCTTGGAATCTTTTGTCACGTTTCATATTCACACTTTAATTCATTATACCGCTTTTCTTCTACAACATCCTCAAAGCGCTTAAAAAATTTGATTATATCCAAGTTCACATTCATAAACCCTTTAATATCTGTATTCACGCTTTCACTAAGTTGAGTGCTTCTCATTCCTAATGTAAAAACTTTCTTCATGTAACATGATGCCCACTTCTCCTTTATAGTGTACACTCTTTGAAACCAAGTGCTTTCTTTAACATCATAGGTTACTAGAATATTTCTCCAGCCTTCTTCAAATTGGTCTTCATTTTCATATGCATACATGCACTTCTTAAAATCACTAAGAAAATGAGATTCACCTTTCATCAAATTTCCTAAGTGTTTGATGCAATTTTGCATCAAGTGTCATGTACATAAGCCATGATAAGCTCTAGGCATAATCTCAACCAATGCTCTTGCCATTGCGTGATCTTGATCAGTAAAAATTGTTTGTGGCATTTTCTGCTTATGAGCCTCTAAAAAGGTCTCAAAGATCCATTTGTATGACTCAACTGTTTCGTCATATAATAAAGAAGCCCAAAAAATAACAGATTTTCGATGATGGTTAAACCCTGAGAATAATGTTAGTGGTCTATGTGAACTATTTGTGCAATAGGTTGAATCAGGAGAAATCACATCACCAAAATAGTCGTAATCAATTAGCATCATTGCATTTGCCCAAAATACATTGGTGATTTGTTCTTCAGCGTCCATTTGATATGCATGATAGAAACTTGGATTTTCCATAGACTTTCTTCGGAAGTATTCCAATAGATAACCAGCTTCTCCATGTACCATACTCCTTTCCCTTTTTTCCCGAAGATAATTCTTTTGGTCAAGATGAATAAATCCCAAATTAGTTCTACCTCCCACTTCTTTACTCATCAAATCAAATGACTTCCTTTGTTGTAATCCCGCATCATCGGCTAGATCAATTTGGTGACATTGAATTTGAGAGACTTTTCTTTGAGATGGCAACATATGAGTTGTTTCTTGCAAATGTAAATTTTGATTATGTTCCTCCACAAAATCAATAACCATAAATTTACCATCCATATTCTTAAGTCCTAATCTTGCTTGACAATTTGTTCTGGTCTCTGGCCTTGGATTGATTGTTTTATAATCTCGTTTATCTGGATTCCCTAAACCTTCTTTACAACAAACAAACCTGTAAGAAGTAATTATACCATTTTTGTTCTTGTTATAATATTGTTTCCTCACCCCAAATCCAACTTTTCCACCATAATCAACCCAAAACTTCCAAGCATCTTCAATGCTATCAAAAATCATTTTTAACTTTGGTTTCCAATCTTCTTGCATTTTCTACACACAAAAACTATGCATTATATGTTATACTAAATTATTAATCTATGAACATATAATTTTACTGTGAAAATATCTTATAAAAATATGATATTTATAACACGTTCATGACAATATTACTGTAAAAATAAAATATATAGAAACTAACCTTCTTCAGCCAATAACAATGGCCACAATTTTTTCTTGATACAGAATGGTGAAGTCACTTGATAAGTTTCCTAAAAATTTCTCAGTAAACTTTTATTTTGTTGGAATGGTAGTGATGAATGTGGAGATTTTAAAAGTTAAAATTAAAAAGATTGGAATTGGAAAAAGAAAGAAGTTGTAACGTATTAGATTCACATAAATGTATTTCTCTCTCTTATGAAATGTATTTTTTATTTAATTATTTCTTGTAACAAAAAATAATTCACGTAAAAATGTTGAAGAAATTCCAAAAATAACAAAGACAAATTACTTATCCATTTCTCTCTCCTATTAAATGACTTTTTTATTTAATTATTCATTATAAATTCTGAACCGTTAGATTAGAAACATGGGAGATGGCAGGATATATAAAAAAGGAGAGGATCCAAATCCGTTTGCGTCATAGGTAGTGAAAGTTTTCCTCTTTAATTGAATACATTATTTCCTTTTTCTCAATGGGTGTTTTTATAAGTGTTGTTATAAGTAGTTTTCTATCTAATATATAACTACGGTCAGTTGACTGTTATAAAAATCAACATACATACAATCACACGCTACCTAACAACAGACGTGAAACCATTATTATATGTGTTTCGCAGACGTCATTACATATGTTTTTCGTAGTAGTGAGCCTTCCTTAAAAATGCTTTGAGACAGATGGGATATTTTCATCCAGGTATGCAAATATTAAGGAACTCATTCATTATGATAATATATAGTTGATTTGAGACCGATGAAAGTTAGGGATGAGTCCAACACATGATTTTTTGTTGTTGTGGTACTCCTACCCGGTTTAATGTTTTGTTTTGAATGAATTGTCATGTATTATCATATCATTGATGTTTGTTTTATTATTTTTGTTTCTAGAAGCTACATGTGTTGCCTCAAGTTCTAAGTTTGCTTCTCTAGGAATTAGCTGCTGTATGAGGTTGTGTTCAAATTTTTTATTGGACGTCTCTGAGTAACGTGTCTAGCCTGGGGTTTGCTCCTTTTTCCTGTCCCTAAGTTTAGACTTGGTTTGAGTCAGACATAATGCGGAGATAAACTAGTGGAAATAGAAAGAAGAAATAGAGAGGAAATAAAATAAATTAACATAAATAAAAAACATAGGGAAAGGGAGAACACACCAGGATTTAAAGAGGCTTGGCCTGCCACTTAGCCTACTTCTCTCTTCAAGAATTTCTTCTTGAGAGTTTCGCAAAAATAATATCTTCAGCTTTTATGAATATGCCCACAAACCTTATTATAACAAATGAGAGATTTTATATAGGTTAATCCCCCAAACAAAACGGAGCTTTTGACAACTAAGTTCACATGCCAAACAGAGATTTTACCAGCTAATTCAAGAACACAATAGAGAATTTACAAGGACAATCTCAATAATTAAACAGAGACTTTTTTCAAGACAATCTCAAGAATCAAACAAGGATTTACAAGGACAATCTCAAGAACCAAAGATATCAAACAAGAGAATCACGCTCTTGATGAATAACGCTTCAGCATGATCACCAATACAACTCTCCGAAGTATTTTTTTCCGCTCACAAGGGCGCAAGACAATGTTAATGATATAATATAAAAATGAATGAAGAGAGAAAATAAGAAGAAAAAAATAGTAGAAATCTGAAATTTGGTGTGTTTTGAATGAGGAAAAACATTTTTTAGATATGAAAAAATATAGCTTAAAAAGGAAAGTGATCCATGGATTTTTTTATGCTCATAATCAATTATGACCTAGGTTTAATCGATAATGTAGGCTAAATGTAGAAGGTTTTCAAATTTTTCGTCACTAATCGATTAGAAGTCATCTTAAACGATTAAAAGGAATTACAAAATAGATAATTGATCAACTATAGTGTGTCAATCGATTATCTAGTGTAAATCACAATCCTACATGTTTATTCAAGCTAGTAATCAACTAGTTACTTGCGCAAAATGTTTTCGGGTGATTTTATAAAAGAAGATAGGCTTCAAAAAAATTGTGTATATGTGAGATTTGCCTTAGTATATTAGCATATACACTTATACTTTTACAATACATTGATTAATTAGACATAAGAGCGGACCAGCTTTTACACTTCCTTTATTTCGCAACCTCTAAGCCTTAAGATCCCATGCTAGATTCACCATGGATTAAACACTTCATCTAGGACTTGACTTCTTCTATCTAATGAGGCTTGATATATCTTCTTTGATAGACACCATCATCATAGGTTTCTTGATCAGAGATCCTTAAGGACTCCACTAAACGTCGCTTGATATTAGGTGTTGTCAACATCAAAACTACCAAAGATCATCTACTACTAAGATCATATACATATGAGTAAGATCATCCACTTGACATTGCATTGAGCGACTAATCGAGTAAATTTTGATGTTATCGTGGCTTTCACGAGATCGGTCAATTCTTCGAACAAGAAGAAGATCTATTTTCTTGAATAACAGAAAAGAGATAAGGTTTCTCGTGGATATTCAAAGGAATTATATATCAATTTCCACAGATAGTGCCACTGTTTTGTGGTGTATCCAATACTAAGAAATGAGATAGGTAGGAAATCTCCAAGACTGGTGGTGACTACTGTTGTACCCTAAAATTTACCCATCTTTTTCTTTACTTGGTTTATGTTTCATTTCATTGTTCAAGCATATTGCATTGCATAGCATTTTGCATTTTACAGGGGATCAAGATGTGTGTGTGCAACAAGAGGAATTTTCCAAGGGTTCTAAGCCTAATCAAGATTTTGTATTCAATTCAACAAGGGGGGTTATCATCATCAGAGACAAGTCAAAGCCTTTTGGATAGACATATAAGTGTATGTGGTTCACCTCCTGTCTAGGAGGCCATTGAAGGTCATCTGAGGATCACAAGCCCATGGTTATGGAGAGAGATTGTCATTTAAGATCATTGTAGGCCTTGAGGGTCATTGTGGAGTTCATTCAAGTGTTTATGCCAAGTGTGAAGAGCTACAGTTGAAGATGGTGCAATTAGGGTTTTCATCTGGTCAACCCTAAGTCAACTGTGAAATTGAAGGAGATTAAGACTCAATTCCAAGTATTTATGGTCATGGCATATTGTGTTAAGATACATGAGATATCATTTCAAGATCAATTCATCAAGAATCAAGAGTGTGAGGAGTATCTGAATTAGGGTTCTCAGTGTAAAATCCCCTGTTTAGTGCCTAACTTCAAGAACACCTATCTCAAGATACAAGTCTAATCTCACCCATGAAACTTATAGAGCATGATCTTAGCTTTATTTTGAGTACTAGAAGTCATTCATCTGATTTATAGACCTCAAGTTATGATGCAGACAAGTTACAGGTCCTCAGATGAATGTGATTTTGGTCAACAAAAGTCAACCAACTTCCAAGACATTTTTGACCTAGAAGTATGTTTCTCCTCAACTTTTGATGAACATGAAAGTTGTTTCTCATGATCTTAGATTTCCAAAGAGTACTATAAGTCCTTCATCTGATTTGTAGAACTCAAGTTATGAGGTTTGCAAGGCAGGGGTATTTTGGGAAAGCAGGATTACATGTCATTTTCATTATAAGTCATTTTCACCACTTTGCACACTTCAAATGGAAATCTTTCCAACTTCAAACTTGCTCCAAATGGGGTCATTTTCTCAACCAAACATCAAGGCATCAAAGGTTTGGCTTGGATTGAAGAATCCCTAATGAAATTTCCATGAAAAAGGCCTTAAAAGGGGAAAATCAAATTAAAATCATTTGGAATCATTTTGTACCAACCTTGTGCATTTTTTGAGTGCTAAACACATTTCAAACACAATGCCATCTTTGGATTTGAGACTTGAGTTCATCTTGGTGGCCATTTTCATGCTTTCTTCAAGATTAAGTAACACATCAAAAACATGCCATAAGATGAAATCAAGGAACCATTCTCAGCCCTTTGACCAACCTACCTCAAATGCAAGCAAGCTGAGTCATTTTTACAGCTGAGCAAGATGAATTTGATGCACTATTCAAATGGCCATGAAGTGAAAAAGTGAAAATCCAATTGGGCCCAAATAGCATAGAATTGGGCTTCCTTTCAATCAGAATCCATCATATTTAATCCCAGCTTTGTACACATGCCTTGAGAACTGGTTTTGGTGAGAGATTGAGTGAGAACACATTGAGAAAAAGAGAGGAAAAAGTCAAAATCGTTTTCTACTTTTTACTGAGTTTCAATCCAAATAAAATATTTCAAAACATTCCTTGAGACTCATAGAACCTTTCTGGGTGTTTTATTTCAAGCTTTGCTAAAGAAACAAGCGCTGTGGAAGCTTGATTTTAGGTTTCCTTCCTTTCAAAATATCTCTCCGTTTAAGCATTTTTATCACGCCATTTTCATGTATTTTTAATCCTTGCATATCATAGATGGATTCTGGATTAATTTCATGGCTGTTTGTGAAATTTTTTCATTTGAGCTCATTTCTATTTCTTTTTGTTTTGGCTTTTTAAAGCATGATCAATGAAAATGGCTAGTGGATTCATGATCCACGTAACCTGGAGATCACTTTTGGCTTTTATTTTACTCATTTTGGTTAAGTTTTGAAGAATCTGGGTTTTGGCCGTGGCTGGTTTCTTGTTGGTTCACCGGAGAAAACGACTGGAACAGTGGTTCTGGTGTCTGGTTCTCCCTCCACTTTTTTAAAACCCAGCCAGATCCATGTGTGTAGCTCACAACCATTTGATGCGCTTACTTTTCATTTTAACGTTCCAGATTAAGACACACCATGTTCCATGTTTGACCTGCCACACATGATTACCAGCAAAACTCACCGTTTCACTTAAACCCTGGCTTGAT